GTAGTCGTCTAGAGTGGTCGAGAAAAGGGACAAGATGAAAAACAATCCCCCAATCCCTTTTTTCTATGTGCAATTGGCAACAATAATGTGTATAACTCACCCAGTTGCTATTAAAAAGTGTGTATGTTATCTTTTCCTTTCCTAACTTGTATTTCTAACCTTGATCTTTTATACATTGCAAGGCCTGCCTTGATCCACCTCACAACTGTCTTTATTGCTGAACATTTACCCATGTGAAGATGGTAACAAATGGGTTCTGCTCCAAGGCCAGGAGCTATTAAAATCCTTAAAACGGTGCTGTAGTTGTTATTCCCTGCTACACATTCAGCATTTAAGGTAAGTGCGATGACTGGTTCACCCACAATCAGTATGATGTGACCAGGTGGAAAGCCATGCTGGGAGACTTTGACCTATGGTATTTCAGTGAGGTAACACTCTAAAAGTTTGTTATAACAAGGAGACAGATACAAAACCATACAGCCTCCAGCACACATGCATAACACATATGGAGGCACGTCCTTAAAACCTTAGCTATTCAGAGGATGCTTAAACCCCAAACATATGATTATCAATTTGACGTCCTCTAAATGGTACACATTAAACCTCATCACTACCTCAACAGAATTTATAGTAATGACCTCCACAAGTAACAATTCAGACATCCTCAATAACCCCCCTTATCACCTTCACTTTTGCTCATTGAATTTAAGATAATGGAGGGGACCGGTTCATTCTAACTGCAGCCTTCATTCTGCACTAGAAGCTTGCAAGCAGAAGATTTATAGGTAAGAAATAAACACCTTTAGCACAAAGTCAACAGAACAAAGTCAGTGATACAATCAGGTGTATACATTTAGATAAACATGTATTCTGTATACTAGCCAAGATTGAAGTGTTCTACCAATAAAATCTGGGTCAGACAACCAATAAAATCACAGAACCATATGTTAAATGCCAAAAACATTGATATTTGAAATGTTCAATCTGGTTTCTTCAGTACAACGTTAACACAAAAACTCCATTATCTTCATCTTTACACCCCTATCTAACTGTTATATAACGTGGAGAACACGGCACAGGATCTCTTCACAAAAACAGCCAAACCATTTTTTGTTTAAAACAAGATGGATATATATATATATATTCTTACCCAAGATTCTTGTAATTGTTTCAAAACAAGTTGAGATAATGACAGTGATTAATGCTCAGTAGATTTAAGGAATCCTTCACATTTAATCACACATGTATATTCAAATCTGGTTTCCCCCATTGTTTTAGCCAGTAGCCAATAGCCTGTCTGTATTTGAGCCGTGAGCCGACACTTACAGAGGTATCACATTGTTATCTTGTCAGTGTTGCATGGAAAATAGTTTTACCTTTACCATTAACAATCACTTGATATAAAATAAATTGGCAGATTTTTATTAGCTCAATCTGGATTCATAACGTGATGTCATATCTGAACTACAGTCTCTGCTGTTGCTTTTGTCAGTTTGCAATATTACAGTACATAACGATAAGAGAAAATGAAGGGCAGAGTACCAGAACTGTTGATTACAAGATCATTAATGTATAACAAATTACACAAAACACATGTAAAATAGGAGGGCATGTCCTTCTTCAATTTTATACAACCGTTTTATAAGCCTTACGGCTAGCTACAGCTCATCAGGAATACAAGCTACCTATACATTAATAATTGCAAGTATCGATGTTACCATGGAGAACAGACCCCCAATTTATATTAATGATTTTTTTTCTATAATTAAGTTAGAGAGCCCAAAGCCTTATACAGTCTTATCTCTGTGAGCTTTAGGCCTTAAGAGTTTTCCTTATACAGAGTAATTGCTCCTTGTTTCTAATATTGTAAAACAGTTTGTGACAGAAAATCATTGTCAAAGTCTCTAGTGCAAAATATATCTGTTTTCGAGTTACTCCAAATTTACTATAGCAAAGGGTAATATACAAAGAAAATTAGATATAAGGTATAATTTCCTATTGCACAAAAACATCTCGGCTCTGCTATAAGGACTTGGTCCCGTACCTCTTCATTGTAGAGCAGTCAGCTTCACTCATCCATTAAGCTACCAGGCATGATAATTGTTATGTTAGTATTCAGGTTATTTACAATGTATTGACTCCCTAAAAAGGCCCTAAAACTACAACTGTCTTTGTATAAATATAACGAAAACTAACAAAGTTTTTACAAAATAAACTGTTTAAGGTCTGTTATAGTGTATACTGTAGAAAAATGATTGGACATTAAAATAGTTCATACGTGCATATGTTAAAGTTAAAGAGTTAAAGGAATGCATCCTCAGGTTTTGTCATTGGGATTAATATCAGTGGGATCAATATCAATAGGAAGCTTTACTCCCTACTTGTGGGATTTTGTTATATTCCACCCACTGTTATATCGGCCTATTTTGTTACACCACATTGAAAAGGTCTTTTAATAGTACACCATGGGTTGTAGACTTGCACGATATCTTCACAAAGCTAGACACCCCCTTGGGTTACAAATTATTATCTTTTGAGTTATGCCATATTTGTTATAATTAGCACTCTCCCTGTATAAGTGCCCTTCCCCTTTTATGCACCAAATGCAATTAAATTCCCCATCCCCCAAACCCACAATCAAACAAACATTTTTTTTCATTAATTTCATCAAAGGCGATGGACTACCCCAAACATCAGTAGAGTGAGTAGGTATGACAGTAAGGTCTCCTATACACACAATAATTACAAACCCTTATCTAACTAAGACAATATTTTGTTATCTTATTATTTTCTCTTTTCTTTAATTTTTTAAAGCAACCTGTGTGCTTATTATAGTAAATACGGTTTTAAGAGTGATCAGACCTGTCTGGGCAGACCCCTAACCACATGGAGTGGGAACTCCTACACCTGAAGCATGTCAATTATATCATTTAATCAAACACGTGGACCATGTGGTTTCCTATGGTGAATGCATATGTAAGGAAAGAAATACCAGTAAAATTGATGTAAGACAAAAAAGTAAAGTATGTTGTCACAAAAACATGTAGTTACAAAGGCATGTTTAGATACAGAGGAAATGGAGGATTTGTGGCATTTAGTTAGTCATTCTATCAGGATGGTTGAAATAGTTCAGCCATTCCTCATATCTGTCAGCTGGACACATAGGAGGGTCTCTGGATAATATGTTTGTAGCACTTGTTGCTTTCCTCACTTTCACACACACAAAAAATCAGCACTCTGTAACAAAGGCAGCCCTAGCTACGACTCATGTCCTGTACCAGCAATCCCTAATGCCATTCCTCATCAGCACTCTGTAACAAAGGCAGCCCTAGCTACGACTCATGTCCTGTACCAGCAATCCCTAATGCCATTCCTCATCAGCACTCTGTAACAAAGGCAGCCCTAGCTACGACTCATGTCCTGTACCAGCAATCCCTAATGCCATTCCTCATCAGCACTCTGTAACAAAGGCAGCCCTAGCTACGACTCATGTCCTGTACCAGCAATCCCTAATGCCATTCCTCATCAGCACTCTGTAACAAAGGCAGCCCTAGCTACGACTCATGTCCTGTACCAGCAATCCCTAATGCCATTCCTCATCAGCACTCTGTAACAAAGGCAGCCCTAGCTACGACTCATGTCCTGTACCAGCAATCCCTAATGCCATTCCTCATCAGCACTCTGTAACAAAGGCAGCCCTAGCTACGACTCATGTCCTGTACCAGCAATCCCTAATGCCATTCCTCATCAGCACTCTGTAACAAAGGCAGCCCTAGCTACGACTCATGTCCTGTACCAGCAATCCCTAATGCCATTCCTCATCAGCACTCTGTAACAAAGGCAGCCCTAGCTACGACTCATGTCCTGTACCAGCAATCCCTAATGCCATTCCTCATCAGCACTCTGTAACAAAGGCAGCCCTAGCTACGACTCATGTCCTGTACCAGCAATCCCTAATGCCATTCCTCATCAGCACTCTGTAACAAAGGCAGCCCTAGCTACGACTCATGTCCTGTACCAGCAATCCCTAATGCCATTCCTCATCAGCACTCTGTAACAAAGGCAGCCCTAGCTACGACTCATGTCCTGTACCAGCAATCCCTAATGCCATTCCTCATCAGCACTCTGTAACAAAGGCAGCCCTAGCTACGACTCATGTCCTGTACCAGCAATCCCTAATGCCATTCCTCATCAGCACTCTGTAACAAAGGCAGCCCTAGCTACGACTCATGTCCTGTACCAGCAATCCCTAATGCCATTCCTCATCAGCACTCTGTAACAAAGGCAGCCCTAGCTACGACTCATGTCCTGTACCAGCAATCCCTAATGCCATTCCTCATCAGCACTCTGTAACAAAGGCAGCCCTAGCTACGACTCATGTCCTGTACCAGCAATCCCTAATGCCATTCCTCATCAGCACTCTGTAACAAAGGCAGCCCTAGCTACGACTCATGTCCTGTACCAGCAATCCCTAATGCCATTCCTCATCAGCACTCTGTTACAAAGGAAGCCCTAGCTACGACGCATGTCCTGTTCCAGCAATTCCTAATGCCAGTATAGCCACATATAAGAATGAAGTGACCCTCAGAGTCCTCTGCCACCACAGCCTCTCTCACCTACAATTGTATGACACTGGACATATATCTCCCTCAACTTCCCCATTAGGCTAGGTCCCTCCCACAACCACACCACAGTGGACACAGTGACCCCTCATCTACCTCCATCCGTTATGCCATGAGCACACACACCACAATGGACACAACCACCCCGACCCCTACCCTCACATGTTCGGCCCTCCCTGAGACACAGGACCCTTCAACAAAATGATCCCCCTCCCCTATCCCAACAGGTAAAACCATGCCCTCACACAACATATTGGACATACCAACCACCTTCCCTAAGTCCTACATGATAGACCCTGATAGACATCACAACTGTTACGTTTAGAGAAGACAAGCTGAGAGAACCTGGAAATGCAATCATACGGTCAATGAACCTACTTTTCTGGAATTTTGCTGCACAGTTTGATAACGGAATGATTCATGTTGGCGGTTCTCTGGAGTCCAAAATATATGTCATTACTCCATCTTGTAGCACTCTACAAAGAAAAAAATACTTTTCACTCAAGTATTAATCATTCTTTTCATTTAATAAGAATACCCTTCACTCTAAGACAAGACCATTTTTCATTCAAAGGGGAGATAATGGTTGAGATTCTTGAAGAATCGGACAACTCTTTGCTTAAAGGAAAGGTATTGAAAGGTCTCAATCAAATAATATTTAAACAAGTATTGTAATGTTAAGTAAAAAAAAAATAAGCAAATAATATTATCAATATTTATTAAATTTGAAAATTTCATTAATTAAAAAAAGCGAAAAGTCTGACAACATGTTAGCCTATATAAGTCATTTCCCAAAATAACGTCATAAATCATAAAATTCCTCAACTCATTGTAGATGACAATAGTGATCTATAACTACAAACTGATATAACACTGATTTGTATGACATGGGCCAGTGAATACAAGGTATACTGTCTACACCTACTTATTACCATATCACAGGTGTATATATAGTTGCTTTCAGTGAAGCATAACATTTGTTTGCCTATAATATGCGGAATGTAAAAAATACAATGTTGGTACATTCTGGTTAAGGATCTATGCTATGTTACACATTATACCTGTGATTTGTGTAAGAGTTCTTTCCCTTTAAAACACTACTAACATAATCTGCTGCTGCAGAATTACTCGAGCATTACATTGTATTAATGCAATTTGACTTATTTCACATCTTTCGAAAAAGTCATCAATTGATAGAAACTTCAGGCTATCGTTTCTATGGGATATTTCACATATGGTTTAAGTGTGGAACTATTTTGGAAAGGAGATGATGGTCACACCAAGATATAGCATACACCCTTACCATACATCCTTAGTCTACATGTAACAGTAGGGTTATATCCTTAAGGCTCCATGTCACAGTAAGGTAGCATACACCCTTAAGTTACCATGGCACAGTAATGAAGCATAAATTATTAAGTCTTGTTGTCACAATAAGTTAACATACACCATTAAGGCTCCATGTCACAGTAAGGTAGCATACACCCTTAAGTCACCATGTCACAGTAATGAAGCATAAATTATTAAGTCTTGTTGTCACAATAAGTTAACATACACCATTAAGTCTCCATGTCACAGTAAGGTAGCATACATCCTTAAGTCTCCATGTCACAGTAAGGTATTATACAACCTTAAGTCTCCATGTCACAGTAAGGTAGTATACACCCTTAAGTCTCCATTTCACAGTGAGGTAGCATACATCCTTAAGTCTCCATGTCACAGTAAGGTAGTATACACCCTTAAGTCTCCATTTCACAGTAAGGTAGCATACGTCCTTAAGTCTCCATGTCACAGTAAGGTATTATACAACCTTAAGTCTCCATGTCACAGTAAGGTAGTATACACCCTTAAGTCTCCATGTCACAGTAAGGTAGCATACATCCTTAAGTCTCCATGTCACAGTAAGGTATTATACAACCTTAAGTCTCCATGTCACAGTAAGGTAACATACATCCTTATGTCTCCATGCCACAGTAAGGTAGCATACATCCTTAAGTCTCCATGCCACAGTATGGTAGCATACATCCTTAAGTCTCCATGTCACAGTATGGTAGCATACTTCTATAAGTCTCCATGTCACAGTAAGGTAGCATACGTCCTTAAGTCTCCATGTCACAGTAAGGTATTATACATCCTTAAGTCTCCATTTCACAGTGAGGTAGCATACCTCCTTAAGTCTCCATGTCACAGTAAGGTAGCATACATCCTTATGTCCCCATGCCACAGTAAGGCAGTATTCCCCCCTAAGTCTCCATTTCACAGTAAGGTAGCATACATCCTGAATTCTTCATGTCACAGTAAGGTAGCATACAACCTTAAGTCTCCATGTCACAGTAAGGTAACATACATCATTATGTCTCCATGCCACAGTAAGGTAGCATACATCCTTAAGTCTCCATGCCACAGTATGGTAGCATACATCCTTAAGTCTCCATGTCACAGTAAGGTAGTATACACCCTTAAGTCTCCATTTCACAGTAAGGTAAGTTATAATCACGACAGTTATACATGCACTTTTAATCCTTGTTGAACTGTAGCTAACATTTTCCTGGTTTCTACATTTGTCTGTACCTGTCTGGTGGTAGCCATTTTATTCTCTGCTTCATAATCAGGTATATCAACTGACTTAATGTTTTTTAGTAGGCATACTCAGACAAATGTGTTTACCATCAAAGAATAAATAAAAGGGTTATACTGCTTAAGGTAATAGGATTGTGTTGCCATTTCTCAGTAGAATTTCTCCAAATTTTGTAGTTATATTGCTTTGAAGTAAGGAACATTTTCTGCCACAAAAAAAATATTGGTTGTCATAATTTTAAGGATTTTAAATGGAAATTTATGTAAAAGGAGTGAAAAAATGAAACACAATTTTTGGCATAAAAATGTCAATAAAAATGATACTGACATAAAATAGTATTGCATTAATGTATGCTGAAATTGTGTAAAATTAATTATCTATAAACGATTAAAAATTAACATTTTATAATAAAACCATATACACATAGTAATTGCATGTAGGAGTTATCGTTCTTGAAAAACTTCACAGTAGTGAAATAGGTAACCGGTTTCCTGAAGTACTGAAAAATGGACACAGGTGACTCAGATTAAAAAACAACTGAATTAATGCATTAATTGCAGTTGCGGTGAAGCCTGACAAAATTGAGATTTCTAGTTTGTATTGTTGTCTCTACAGAAGGTGTCTGTCCTGACAGGTACCACACAGCCCAGTGATATAAATCAGCTTCAATGCACAGTTATAAATGCTGACAATTTTACATAAATAGACATTCCTTTCTTTTTTTAAGAAAACTTGGACATATCTGAAGTTGGGGCTTGAGTTACACATTAACATACAAATATATAGCAACTCCGATTTCTGCCGCACTGATGATTTATTATTTTGAATAATAAGATGTGAACAAGAGTACCGCGGGGCGGAACAATATATGCCCGTCGAATGCCATATAGTGTTATATACTTTCTTACATTGAAATAAGATCTGCATCATTCAAAGAGTGGTTAGCTGACATGCTATAAAAATGTATGAGAAAATCTCCGGATAAAAAATCAAATACTGAAATGAACAAAGGGCAATAACTTTTGGAAAAATTGTTGAATCAAAATTCTGTTCAAGGAAACACAACAACATATCATGATGATTTAGCCTACTAAGTTTCAAAGTGATCTGTTGAAAAATGTAGGAGGAGATTGCCGGACAAAAATCAAATACTAAAATGAACAAAGGGCAATAACTTTTGGAAAAATTGTCGAATCAAAATTCTTTTAAAGGAGACACAACTTCACATCATGATTATAATGTATACCAAGTTTCGGACGGATGGACAACGCCATACCATAATACTCCCGTCAAATTTGACGGGCGTATAAAAACTACTCAGAATAAACAGCTATGGTCATATAAGGACAGCCTCCCCTGTGTGCAAGATGCATGTGTGTAGTGTATGCGTGGGTTTTGTGAGGCTGCGATATGTTCCTATTTGTCTCCTTGTGATAGCCTGGAACTGATGCTGACTTTGTAGTGCTACCTCATTGAAACATACTGCCGAAGACACCCCACCTGGTCACATTAAACTGACAACATTAAAACTCCTAAATTGGTGGGCGTTAAGCAGGAATAGAAACTACCATTTTTACAGACTTTGGTATATCTTAGCCAGAGAACAGAACCCTGAATTGTTATAATTGACTATAAAGACAATGTGTTTTGTCAAACGATGCCAATTAAGGTCAGATAAACAGAAAAGGACCAAATTTTGTATTTCACAACAAAGACATACAAAGTGAATTTGTGATCTTTTTTTCATTACAAAGCAAATCCACTATATCTAGATTTGTTTATCAAAAGTGACTAAAAAGTAGAAACATAGAAGTTACTTTGGCATTGTCCATGAACTGGATACTACACTATACCCTGTAATAAAGAATTATCTTTACTCTTTTCACTAGCAGACATGATCACCACTGAATTAAACAAGAGACCCATGGGGTCTGTATATTGTAACAGTGTTTATTTTTCTACAATGTTTCCTCGGGTTGGTAAGTATATGGATTGTGAAAGGTTTCGAGAAGCACACAAACAATAAGTGTTTATATGTTATATGTGACATTTCGATGACTAGTACGGTATGTACTAAATTGTGTAAGAAGTGTTAATTGTTGGCAGTTATTGTTATAAGTTATAATTATGAACACCCCGGTTGGCGGTTGTTGTTATAAGTTATAATTATGAACACCCCGGTTTGCAGTTGTTGTTATGAGTTATAATTATGAACACCCCGTTGTTATAAGGTATAATTATGAACACCCGGTTGTTATAAGTTATTATTATGAACACCCGGTTGTTATAAGGTATAATTATGAACACCCGGTTGTAGCTTACTCACCGTTGGCTCCTTAAGGATTTCTGATGTGTAGACGTTCTTGAGATGCGCGAGACTCTCCCAGGTCCCACTCACCAAACTGATGATCTTGCTCTGAGCAATCATCTTGATTTTCCTTGTTGCAATGTTCCACTGTGAAGGAAACGAATCATAGTTATACCAATGATAATAGACATAAAACTTGATGTTTATTCCCTGACCTTGACTATTTTAAATGTATAGGTATTATTTTAACTGGAACCCATAATATAATACCCCTACACCCTAATGGCTAAATTTTGATTGTTATATGCTACTAACCAATACTAATAACAATGAAATCTAAATCTCAAAATTAACAACGAACTACACATACATACAGAATTCACTTTGTAGATCAAGTGTGCAAAGATTTCTTATGTGCAATAACGCACTAAAGGAGAAGTTGTGAAGCCATGCAGCTTTTCATGAACTGGCATAAATCTGTAAAAAAAATGTTAAAATGAAAAATGAAATGCATATATATGCAGCTAACAACTAAATAGATAGAGAGTACAACTCTTATTGAGATATTTGTAGGTATTTAGTAATTAATCCTTATAATCTCGAGTCTACAGACAGAAAGCCAAATCGTTAAGGCCTGATTTTATTATTATTTGATCGGGGAAGAAGGGGTTGCTATAATAAACCAGTTAGATTTAGAGTCCTATCTATGCACAGGATACAAAATAACCTAAATATAATGTAGGTTTACAACAACATAAGATTCTGATCATACAGACAAAACACAAATCACTCTAGAAAAAATGTTTTTAAGCTACCATTTGTAGTGCACAAGTACGTGATATATTTCAGAAAAAAATCTGTTATTGAAATTGGTTATTTACTGTACAAGATGCACAGGAGATGTCTGGACAATTTCCTTTTACAAGCAGACAGACAGCTGATTCTAGTATACTCCCTACTCCTCCAACAAAACAAGGGGTGGGCTATAGTGAAAGGTGAATTCCTATGATATTTGGTTGTGTTTATATCGGTGGATAATTCATAACATGTGAACTGATTATAAAAGAAGGGCTTGAAAAGCCTACTCAATATTGAAGTGTCAAAAATAACCAAAAATTGGAAATACCTTCAGCATGGTTGGCATATTAAGTGTCGTTTTGACCCAAGTTTACTTAAACCTATAAATCGAGGAACTTGAGGAAGGGTTATGCTATATAAACAAAGATGAAAAATTTAATGTCAAGTTATATGTCCCTTCAGGTATTATACAAGCATTTTCTAAAATTGAATTTACAAAATATAATGTATTTTCTGAAATCCATCTGATTTTTTGGCACATCCTGTACTGGGGCGTCTACACAATTAACCCGTGATTAAACTCATCACCTGGATACGATCTTCTGGGATGTATCTAGCTACAGGGTGATGAGTTTATCCTACCTCCTCACACAACTTTATATAACTAGATACATAAATGACATGTTTATCTACAGTGAAATCATGGTTATATTCCAACGTAAATACATAGTTTTTCATCAGAGTTTGGAGTACTTCCTCATCTGACCTCCTTGATCTCCATGCATGCATGTCCTGGGAAGGGGGATACAGAGAAGGGGGGCCCTCAGGGGAGGGGGATAAAGGAAAGGGGGCCTCAGGGGAGGGGGATACTGGGAGGGAGTACAAACATATACAGTGTGAAGTAGTCTACACTAGGAGTTCACTAAAATAGATCCTGCCGAGATCGAGATCGCCTAAAGATAACATACACCTGTCTACCACATACTCAAATATTTCATTCAACAAGCTTTTATAATTTCATGCATGTGCAGGTTTTATGCGAGCGAGCAGAGTGTGGTTACTTAACGTCCTATAAATCGTCTATACAATATATTGTTTGTCGTGCTAAGTGTGTGCAGTGCTATATCTAACTGATCTAAAACCATTTTGTAGCACATTGTGACATAATAGATGTTTTAAACCCACAAAATTCCCTGTTAGATTTACTACAATGATCTAAATAACCTGTGGACATTATTGTCACTGATTCCATCTACATGTACATTACAGCAGATTATGTTTTTCATTATTTTCGAATCTCTGATAACAAGGTCTGTCTGTATCTCTGATAACAAGGTCTGTCTGTATCTCTGTCTGTCTTTCAAATTAACAGACACCAAATCTGATAAATGCTTGGTGAGTAAAATTGTTAAACAAATTTCCTTTCCTAACTATGTCTGATTAAAGAAAGCATCATCGAAGTTGACGGAATTAGATATCAGTCCCTTGCTAAATTAAATTCTCAAAATCAGATTCATTGAAAGGCTATATTTTAAATAGCAAGATTTTATTTTGAGAAACCATCTCTATATAGATTCAACAAGTAGAAGGATTGGCAGGAAATGTTAGTTAAGAACATTTGATAGGAAATGTAAAATTCCTGAAAAATATAAGCAAAGAATATAATTTGCATTAAGAAGCTCTGTGAAACAGGGGCCAGATCTAGACTATCATCTAGAGTTAGTCATTCAAACAGGAAACAGCACTTTGTCTACAGGGAAGGGACACAGGGACTTGGGAATTTGTTACAGCTGTATTTTCAACTATTTACTAAACTAGGGTGTCCAGATTAGTTTCGTGGCATTTTTACCGAAAGTTGATCTAAACTCTTAAAAACGTGTAAAATTACCCTGAACACATAGTTTTGGTCCAAATATAGCTGTAACAAGTTTTCATGTCCCTGTGGGAAGGGATCTCTTGATTGTAACTATACAGTTCTACAACAAATACTAGGGTTACTTACTTTGTAATCAAAGGAAAACTGTTCATCATCTGGAATTTGTTTCACCTGAAACATAAAATAGGTTTACTATAAACCAGCTGCTGCCAGCACACTATGGGTATCACTATTACCACCGGAGCCATAGGAACAGATGATACTGTTACTCCTTACTCTATCAAATACTGCTTTGTAACTAGGGCCAAAAGATAATTAACCAACAAACACATATTTTGTATGATAATTAACGAACCAACACAAATTTTGTATAACTAATTTGATAAAAGTCATGATGAATCTTTTGTTTTTTTAATTTGTGTTCATTTTGCAGAATTTTCATGCAAAAATTGTGTGCATGTGTACATAATTGAGAACAAAAGATCCTCAATGGTCTTGTATCCATTGTGTAGTATAGGTAAAAAAATATCTCCACCAACCCAAAGGTCATAGGGTCAATCTTGCCTTTGGAACACACCTTACATTCTTGAAATAGCATCCAGAACAACTTGTATTCAGGACTTGGTAATATGAAAACCAAGTTCGGGAAACTTTTTTTTGAAATGCACAGAAATTGAAAAGTATCTAGAATCCCACTCAAACTATGTAGAAGGACCTCGTTTAATCTGAAAAGAACACCTTTTATCAAATACCCAGCAAAATCCCCGGTTAGATCGAATATAAAACTTTTTGTTGTTAAAGTCCGGTTGTTTGGAACACTCCTGTAGAAAGGATGGACATTTAGACATTACCAACACTCTCACATTCTTTTATAGAAAGTACAACATTGGTTTGGAGATAATATGTTTCATGATTTTCTCAGCTTGATTCTTCTAAGGAATAAAAGATATTTTGTATGTAGCAATGTTTGTGATACTCTCCCTTATTGCTTGTCAGTGTACTGCGTGCACGTGGAGGCGGGAGGCGCGGAGAGGTACGGTGTGGTATCAGTGCAGGTAATCGGGGATATGTAGTAACCATTACATCACAATGCAACAACTGCAGCTACCTACGTCTGTAATAAATCCCCTTTTCATGTTGGATCCACATTTAGATTGGCATGCCTACATAAAAAGTCATTTTATTGCTGTCCTCACATATATCAACAGTTTGTACACAATCACTCTCCTCTTTAATGTACTTCTCAACATTTCATACCCACAAACAAATCTGGATTCTCATCATGCACACGGGGACCTGAGATCCAAGAAGCAGTATAACACAGTATGTATAACGTGTCTTAGTTCTCGGGTCCTTGTGACAAGGTCAATCAAATCCTGTGTAATGTACAGGCTACCTCGTTAAGTTATTGACAACCACCTCGTCCTATGATACAAATAAGGTCATGCTACATGTAACAACTATGACAATCGGCAGGATGTGAGAAAATGATTATGACATCATTAAGATTAAACCGTAGCCAAGGACGATGACGACTGAGAAGTAAGAGGCTATAACAACTATAATGGACCACAACAAACTGTCTCCGACAGGATAACGTTAAACAGGAAGACTGGGAAAGTAATCCCAGTGATGTATTGATATCGGGACATCGTGCACAAGTGTAAAATACAGAGGAAGGTGACGCTATGTTAACAACCCACTGTTATCAATGTGTAAAGAAATATATGACAGTATAAAGTAGCAAGAACCATTAGGCAGTAAATGTCAGCCGTACGGACAAGTCTTGTCTGTCTCACTGTACTAACTAGACAGTGCTAATTGTACACACCTCTGTGTAATCACTTATAGGGCCCCCAGGTGTATGCCATGGAATGTTTCAGCTCGCCTATTTTATCACCTTATAAAGCCTTAAAGTTACATGTGCGTGTGGTATTTATTTATGCTGTATAATAACTACAAAATTAAACTTGGTGACATCATCGTCATGTTATTGAAAATGTATACCATAGCTGATCACCTATTAACCGTTCACAGTACTAGGGCCTTTCAATAAATATCAAACTACTTATAACTTAATGTACGTCTAAGTTCGTAAATCCTCTAAGTCGCTTTTGCAAACAGGTTTCTTAGTATGTAATTGATGTTTCATGCATCACCTGCATTCTATCGCGAGTGTTTATACTGTATACATGTGTTTTATTTGGCGCCGTTTACTTAATTTAATATACTTAATTAGGCGTGGCGTACGAAAAATAGGTGCACTCCTTGTCATTATTACATGCAATATTGTGATGCTCTTATCAACATCGATTCTTCAGGGAATACAAGAAAGTACAGACATATGAAAACTTCTACAAGTATAGCAAGTACTTGAAAAACATTAAGCAGGGACCTGTTGCCATGGATACCTGAGCTGGCATGCCCCTGCCCTTGAATCCGATCGCGTAGAGCTCCTGTTTGTCCGCGAGCTCCATTGTCCTCTGGTCCTTATCGTCATCAAACTGTGGCAGTGACGTGTCGAGATGCTTGATGACGTAGTGATATCCTGGTTTTATCCAGCGATACACTGGGAAGACGAACATCCGTTTGTTAGACTTATTCTCCAACATAACCCTATCTACGTACCAAGCAGCCCCCAGACCACTGCTGTCCCGCCAAAACTCCACTTTAGATACTGAATCAAATTGTTTCAAGTTTTTGATGGAGAACGTATCCGTACAACCACTTTCGAAGTCATTCCGGAACCAGTTATCAAGCGGGTACTCTTTGGATTTCCCGCCATTTTGGTCATACAGAATTATGGTTACGTTTGCATCCGTTCCCGCTCCCTTCCGGTCTCCCGTCCGGACATACACATAATAGTCTGTCGCCTCTTTCGTCCCTATACAGTTCCCCATGACGCTAGCCTACCTAAAACACTTGTCAAGCGACACACCTGCTTAACACTGTACACCTGAAATATTTGATCACGCGGTCCATAGCTAACAGACGACAGTTGTTAGATGTCGACTTGAACACACGTACGTTGGCCTACTACACGTGTCTTCTAGTAATTCACATGTACCCAGGTATCCCGTCTGCTACATATAAGGAAACTCCGGTTTACCCAGACCTCTCTGTAGGCGATCAATATAAATCACATGACCGACTAGGTGGTACCTATTTTTAAATGTGATGTATAAAAATACATCAACCTTACACCCCTATATAATCGGCACACAGGACCACTATAGATTGTACTCCACGACGCTGTCGCGACAGGATTAGATAAGTCTTCCCCGTCAATACTCCTCTCCCGGGACAGTCCTATTTGATTAACACAGATTGTCTTTAATACAACGTCTCGGGTTTATTTCCTGAATTTTCTCTCAATTTCCTATGTTGGAGTTTCAATCTTCTGTAATATCGTTTGTGCTAACAGAGCAAGACATAGTTGAAATGATTTGAAACGATAGAACAAGCAAATGTAATAGTTTCATAAATCGAGAAATATATCTCCACAAAATCCTGGAACGATCATTATCAGGTCTCGTCTATGTTAGCAAAGCATCATTACGTACAGCAAGCCTTTAGTCCGGAATACCTCGCTCTCACTGTGTACTTTTTTTCTGATCGATCCGTTGATGAGTGACAATGAATTTTTCGGGGTCACGTGATCTGCTGTCACTTACTGAGGTGTAACAAGTTGTACCCTATTCCATTGGAGTCTAGCAAAGTGTTCAGTGCCCTTTAACGTACTATATATCGTAGCCGCTCTAATAAACAATGCTGTAGCATAAAAATATATATATAAGAGTTTCACACTTTCTGCCTTATACATGTCATGACTTGGCTCTCAGACTTTACATTTTCCTATTTTATTAAATGTCCATTTCGAGGGAATACAGACACTTCAATCACCATACCTTAATTTCATATCAAAATTATTTTGAAAAGCAACAAAGTAGAAACTACTAATAACTAAAACATACGTTCAATTCTCATCTGTTATATAGGTTTATAAAACTGAGTTTGTATTTAATGACAAAACAGACACAATTATGTACATCGAGTGATGGTACAGGTGGAGGGCCGCGGAACATCGGCCCAGTTGGGATCATCTTTGATATGGCGAGTGTTTGTAATTATTCCGTTACGGTTCACCTCCAGCACAGATTTGCCGTCTATATCTACCACGAACTTAATGGGTTAATACACAGTGCAGGAACTTTTAACCCTGTAGCCAATAGTTCATGCTAAAGCACACGACATGGTCTCGTGATACCAGTTTAATGGTTGTAAGAACACCCGTGCTGATGTCGTATTTGTTCTAACAGATTTACTGTCATAGTTAAACGGTAATGTGATGGGACAGAACTTGGCAAACTATCGACGACTTCCCCCAAAAAATACGCTACGGAATCACAATGACAAAACTAAGCATTTACCTAACGTACAGCTGGACCTATCCTGACTTGTAGGGGGTATATAACAGCTGGGCCTATCCTGACTTGGAGGGGGTATATAACAGCTGGACCTATCCTGACTTGTGGGGGGTGTATAACAGCTGGACCTATCCTGACTTGTAAGGGGGTGTATAACAGCTGGACCTATCCTGACTTGTAGGGTGTATATAACAGCTGTACCTTTCCTGACTTGTAGGGGGTATATAACAGCTGGACCTAGCCTGACTTGTAGGGGGTATATAACAGCTGGACCTATCCCGACTTGTAGGGGTATATAACAGCTGGACCTATCCTGACTTGTAGGGTGTATATAACAGCTGTACCTTTCCTGACTTGTAGGGGGTATATAACAGCTGGACCTACCCTGACTTGTAGGGGGTATATAACAGCTGGACCTAGCCTGACTTGTAGGGGGTATATAACAGCTGGACCTATCCGGACTTGTAGGGGGTGTATAACAGCTGGACCTATCCTGACTTGTAGGGGTATATAACAGCTGGACCTATCCCGACTTGTAGGGGTATATAACAGCTGGACCTATCCCGACTTGTAGGGGTATATAACAGCTGGACCTATCCCGACTTGTAGGGGTATATAACAGCTGGACCTATCCTGACTTGAAGGGGGTATATAACAGCTGGACCTATCCTGACTTGTAAGGGGGAGTATAACAGCTGGACCTATCCTGACTTGTAAGGGGGAGTATAACAGCTGGACCTATCCTGACTTGTAAGGGGGTGTATAACGGCTGGACCTATCCTGACTTGTAAGGGGGTGTATAACGGCTGGACCTATCCTGACTTGTAAGGGGGTGTATAACGGCTGGACCTATCCTGACTTGTAAGGGGGTGTATAACAGCTGGACCTATCCTGACTTGTAAGGGGGAGTATAACAGCTGGACCTATCCTGACTTGTAAGGGGGTGTATAACGGCTGGACCTATCCTGACTTGTAAGGGGGTGTATAACGGCTGGACCTATCCTGACTTGTAAGGGGGTGTATAACGGCTGGACCTATCCTGACTTGTAAGGGGGTGTATAACGGCTGGACCTATCCTGACTTGTAAGGGGGTGTATAACGGCTGGACCTATCCTGACTTGTAAGGGGGTGTATAACGGCTGGACCTATCCTGACTTGTAAGGGGGTGTATAACGGCTGGACCTATCCTGACTTGTAAGGGGGTGTATAACAGCTGGACCTATCCTGACTTGTAGGGTGTATATAACAGCTGTACCTTTCCTGACTTGTAGGGGGTATATAACAGCTGGACCTAGCCTGACTTGTAGGGGGTATATAACAGCTGGACCTACCCTGACTTGTAGGGGGTATATAACAGCTGGACCTATCCCGACTTGTAGGGGTATATAACAGCTGGACCTATCCTGACTTGTAGGGGGCATATAACAGCTGGACCTATCCCGACTTGTAGGGGGGATATAGACGTTTTAGGGACTAGCTCGGCATTCGGTAAAATGTCCCCTCTGCAATGAGGATATACTATAGATGGATGGAAGTCGAGAAAAAATACCCCGTAGGGGGTATATAACAGCTGGACCTATCCTGACTTGAAGGGGGTATATAACAGCTGGACCTATCCTGACTTGTAGGGGGTATATAACAGCTGGACCTATCCCGACTTGTAGGGGGTATATAGACGTTTTAGGGACTAGCTCGGCATTCGGTAAAATGTCCCCTCTGCAATGAGGATATACTATAGATGGATGGAAGTCGAGAAAAAATACCCCTTGATCTTTTATGCTAAAGTAATTTTTCTTGAAAGTGTGTGAAAAGCTTGGCATTTCAGTAACCTTGGCGCGAAATATGTTCTCCTTACGCAGGCGGAATCTCCGTTTTCTCCCAAAACACGTCAATAAGACATTCAAGCCTTTGTCAATCATACATCTGAAGATCAAACTAACATGTTAGTCGAATTGTTGTATGTTAAATTCATCGATTGGACCATATATCCATATATTCCGTTGAATTTTGACAAAGGCAAGAAATATCGACTAGTGCATCAAAAGTTTGGAAAATCGGACGATGGTTCCTACTTTGATTTAAAGGTATATTATATGACGTTTGACCATTGGTGTAATTAATATTAACATTAACGTAACACATCTGAAATATAATACAAAATCGTTCAACGTCAGATACATGTCGTATGGAGCATGCGCCCCGGAAGCACATATATGATATAGATATAGATATATGATATATGATAATGATATATGATATAGATATAGATATATGATATATGATAATGATATATGATATAGATATATGATATAGATATATGATATAGATATGTGTAATTACCGCAACCAGGCCACTCAGAACCTTGAAATTTATTTCGTACAGACGTTTTTTCTCCTCTAACTCTATATCCCGCTGGGTCCGATAGGGGTCGTTCTGAGGCAGTGACGTGTCAAGATGACGGATTTTGTAATGATATTTTGGTCGGATCCACCGGAATACAGGAAAGACATACTGCGTGACGTCACTCCACACAGTCACCGTATCCACAAACCAACAACTGCTGAGCCCACAATCGTCCCGCCACATCTCCAGGGTGTCCAAACTAGAAAGGGCCGCGTCACGTACGGAGAATTTGTCCGTGTGTCCGCGCTCAAAGTCGTCCTTAAACACATGCCACAACCAGTGTTTATTTGTCCGACGTCCGTCATCACAGTGGAATATGACGTTGACGTTAGCGTCTGTCCCAGCCCGTCTCCGATCCCCGGTTTTTACAATCACTTTGTAGGTGGCAGTACCTGACATAACTATCACTTGGTGTTGAAAGTGGAAAGAACTCCTGACAACACTCTGCTGTAAGCCTCCGTGCTCCTCCGTGATAACCCTTCCCAGCAACAATTCACAATAATGACGTTCAATTACTTCCTGTTGTCATACTGTTTCCGGAAATTGAACCCCGGAACCCGACGGTCGAGGCAACGTCCTTCCTAAAGTGTGCTGATGTAGTTACCCATGTATAAGAACATTTATGTCTATCTATGACAGCAACTCCGAGTTCTGACGGAAATAAACATATTTACGATACCAAAGTAACACTTTTGTATTCACAAATTGTACTATATACTTGGTAAGTGGTGTTTAATGTGCATCAAAATAACCGCGTGATACGTACAGTGTACGTGCCCTACACTGTACGCCTGAAACAGAATAGATAGACGAAACGAACTTGAACAACGTGTCGCATTGGACTAACTCAATCCTGTGACGGCTGAAGCCATCCCATGATGTCGAAATGAAAATTCAAACGTTCTCACGCGATCAATTCAAACGTTCTCACGCGAAACAAACTCACTTGCTCTCAAGTTTATAAATAGATCTTTAGTATATCCTGCAACATAATTGAGTACTATGTGTTAGATTACATACAATTTGGTTTATTTGGTGTCAAGTAATATACAACTCACGAACCCCCTCCACCCTCCTCCTCCACCCCTCCCCACTCCAATCTACAACTCACGAACCCCCTCCACCCTCCTCCTCCACCCCTCCCCACTCCAATCCCCCAATCCCCCGACAGGAGACAGGAATATTCACCACAATATGTTACTGACTGGTGTTAGCAGCCACACAGCTCAGCTTTCGCCCTTAGATCCCAGCAGAGATCATCATGTAGCACATTAACCGACAGGTTATGCAACATTTCACTCAAATCAAACGCCAGGAAAAGCCTGACTTACACACAATGTAGATATAAGTATAATACATTTCAAATATAAAGTAAGGTTGAAATTACATGGAAATGCCTCCCTCTATTCCATGCAATCGTTATACGCATGGCCACAAAAAAAATGGCGCGAGACAGTGAGTAAAAAGCTCAAATCGTAAACGGTTTAGAACGAAAAGATGAGCTTGAGAAATCCCGGAGTAGCACAAAGACAGCCAATGAGAAACCTTGGAGAGATTGGAGAGGAGAAATATATGAAAATTATCTGATGAGATTTTTAGAAAGTTAAAGGGGCTGGTCGGGGGAAAAAAATGACAAAATAAATGGATCTAAATGCGTTCTCTGGTCTTCCAATAGTTATACCACGTCAATATGATGGTCGAGTTCTGCTTGCAATGTCCAGTTTTGACAACTGAAATCTCGGGCAAGCCCCGTAAATTTAGCGCAGATCTATTTATATATGTCACGGTGGTTGTCTCGAAAGTGAGGCAGTGAAGATAACAACAATAAATAGCACGCCGTCTATCAGCCATGTCGGACTCAACTAGCGGACAAGACAGCAATACTATATGTAACTAGTTGTTTTCAAAGGTCGTGTATGATGCAAGTGTAGTATTCCTACCTATATGCTGTTGTTATATATAACGGTATTGATACCTCGTGCCTGTCATGACTTTTGCATGCATCTTTTTCTTTCGCCGCGATGTTTACATTTGGCCTTGTTGATGACGCGCCTGCGGTAAAATTACATCACTGATCTGGGTCAATTGAAAGTTTTAGACTGTCAGGTGACGATTTAGGATTTCTTTAATATAATTATAATTTTTACTCTTAGGGAGTGAATTTCAGCAAAATTTGAATCGGTATGTTTCATAAGAAGGTATTTTAAACATGTGTATGCCATTTTAGCATATTTTAGCATTTTTTCCCCGACCAGCGCCTTTAAGTTACTTATTCAGAGCTCTTGGACGGTACAAGCTATACATGGTACTTGGTCGAAAGCATTGTATTTGATACCAGGACCCGACGACAAAATGAGTTGAGTATGGCTGTATGTGTAGCACGGCCTATTGATCTTAGTTTAGTTTAAACATATTTTATTGCCAAAATAGTGACAACAGGATTGGGCACAAGTTATTACAACATTATTTACGCCCTTTCCTCAAATATATACATCAGATTTACAAACATGGCACAACTGGGTATCAAATAATATGTATAATAGTAGCATTACAACAACAGAAACAAAAAGAGAAAGAACAACATTGAACAGTCTCACAAATTGAGTATAGAAATATAAAACACCCTTACGAATTAAAACCTACCGCTGGTCTTTATGAATTTTTGCACGTTACGAAAAATATCATTATTTTGTTGAGAAGACAGATCCGGAATACCAGATAGCAATATATCTAAGGAGATTTCATTAACAAAATTTAGATTTTGAAACAATTCAAACGTCTGGTGTGTATAAACTGGACATTCAAAAAAGAAATGATAGGCGTTTTCACATGGAGATCCACAGACACAGGCGGGACTATCTACGATGTTGACTCTAAATAAATCATAATTTAGGGAACTGCAGTTGTACCTTAATTTAGTGTGAATGATATTTAGTTTTCGTTCACCATAACCAAAATAACTGGGCGATGTGGTGTCCAATTCTCGAGAGATGGCTTTTTTGAATCTTCCTAAAGTGACCGATGATCTTTTCGCAGTATCTAAATGATCATCGGTCACTTTAGGAAGATTCCTATTGATCCCGGTAGTTGGAATCATTGATACATCAAGTGGAATTAAATATTCGCATTTATCTTTAAAGGGGATTTTTTTTTTTATTAAATGGCAACTTAATATCTTGATAGCAAACAACACACACGTTTGGTGCCGGAGAAATTACCTGTGACACCATACCGGGAATCTTGACGTGTAGCTGGTAAACAGTGCGCTTGTCCTCGAGTTCCATACTCCTCTGATCATTGAAGTCATCCTCCTGTGGGAGAGACGTGTCCAAATGCCGAATCCTGTACCGGAAGTGCGGCTTTATCCAACGAAAAAAAGGAAACGCAAACGTATCTTGCGATGATTCGCACTTTACTTCAACAACGTCAAGAAACCAGTCGTCTAGAATTCCTTTCTCATCCCTCCACAGTTCCAGCACGTCGACTGACGCAAGTCGGCGCCCAGTCACCGGAAACTCGTCCCGACGTCCGCGCTCAAAGTCGTTGATAAAAATGTTATCAAGCCACATTTCCTCAGTACTGTGACCGTCGTTGCTATGAAAAACGACGGCAATGTTGGCGTCTGTCCCTGCAAACCTTTTGTCGCCCGTCTGAACATACACTTTGTAGTCCATCTTATCAGACATGTTGTTCAATTCATTGACTGATGACAACACAAATGGAAATATTGATGGCAATAGTAAAACGTTTGTATTGTGAAAATGTCCCTGTCGCGACGGACACTTTTTCCTTATATGCGCAATGGCGATAGGTAGGCTCAGTTTCTCAAGAACATATATCACCTTTAATTATCCCTTGGTACGTATTCTGAAGACCTTCTCGATCGTCAATTAATTCGACATGTCACTTCCGCGTGATTCCGTCACGTAAGTCACTTACATCCGCTCGAACAGATTGATTCTGTTATCCTGTATTGCATTAGCTCTGATTGAAATAGTTACACTGGCTATCGCCTAGGCTGCTAAATGGCACGTACTATACTAACCATGCTAGTCAAGATCTGTTGAAAGTCTCTGATGATTTAGATAAATTCTATGGGCTATATTTATAGATTGGTATTTCCAGCTTTGTTGGGAAGTCCCCGGTGAGCTGGAGGTAGTGACGTGGTCCTGTTTAAACAAACATAACGTATTGATCGGTCTCTATAGCCGACTTCAGACAATGTTCAGCATCTGGGCAAGGTATTGATGTATAATTCACTAATCACATGTTCCTGACCAAACCGAAACTGAAATCGGCGTTCATCATCTAATGGAACAATTTAAGGCATATACTTAAAGTTTGATGACGATACGCGTGCCTGTGTGATGATAATTTACCACAAGATACAGAGTTCCTGTGGATCCCTGGCCGAACACCTCGCCCTGTAGACCAATTTAATTATACCTTCATAGTAAATACATCTGCTTATCGAACATGAAGGTAATTGTATCTGGTTTGTGGTAACATCCCTTTCTCGAGTGCACAGCAGTTTCACAATTATCAAAGTTAACGTTTCATGGGTTCAAGACGCTCAACAGCAAAAACGGGGATCGGAGCATTTTCTACCGTTAGTCAGCTCCTCCATAGAGAAAACGGAACACAGAGAAAACGGAAGTTTTTACCGGTAGTCAGTTTATTTCTAGAGAAAACGATACAGTCTTTACCAATAGTTTCCTTGAAAAAATCAAACAGTTGTTACCAAAAGTAGGATTCTTTCATGACGAAACGACTTACTAGAATTAAGTCCTTTATATATAAAACGCAACAGTTTCCTCTAAAAGTAAGCTCCTTTTCAGATAGAACTGAACAGTGTCACCAACAGTTACATTCTTTCTAAATATAACGCAACATTTTCCCCAACTAATAGCATCCTTTTCAGATAAAACGGAACAGTTTTCACCAATAGTAGGCTCCTTCCAAGAGATCATGAGACATATTTACTAGTATCCAGCACCTTTCCATGAGAGCGGAAAGTTTTTACAAGCTGCCAGTTCCAAGGGAGACACACACATTGTTTAACTTGTAATAAAATGGCGAGAAAGAAAACTAGGACCTGTCGGTATCTCTCTCCTCGTCACTGTATCTCTCCTCGTCACTGTATCTCTCTCCTCGTCACTGTATCTCTCTCGTCACTGTATCTCTCTCGTCACTGTATGTCTCCTCGTCACTGTATCTCTCTCGTCACTGTATGTCTCCTCGTCAATGTAGCACGAGTGCAATGATGCACGTACATATGCACCTGCCTGTCTGTCCTGCTGATATACTACATATACTGTACATGCGCGTCTTTCTTCGCACGTGATGTATGAAGATGTTATATCCTTAGCACGTGAAAAATTCCATGTTGGGATTAAGTCATTAATCCGCCTGGAGTAGAGGTGGCCCGGGGTTGTGTTGTTAGATCCGTTTGTGTAGTTGATGCGGGTTATCTCTCGCTGCGCTTTACATGTACCTCACCCGTACGTACTGACACTTGTCGGGTAACCGTAATGTAGCTTGTATTCATTGTATGTTGGTGTATCTATTAATCCTTGACACCCCCCCCCCCCCCCCCCCCCCCCCCCCTATGAATAATTGATACATATGTTTCCCATTACATAACGTAGATCAGCAAAAGTTCAGAGTTCGAATCTCGTTATGTTACGAAAACATTCGTACACGAAGCTACAAATGACGCCTCTTATGTACGATAGAAACCCGACATTGCACGCACAGGGACCTGATAACTTGTTACAGCTATATTTGGACCTAAACTAAGGAGTTCAGAGTAATTTTACATGTTTTATGGATATATATCTACTTTCGGTTGGTATATATAATCATCTGGGGTGGCATGTTTACCGAAAGTCGATTTAAACCCCTAAACATGTAAAATTACTCTGAACACCTTAGTTTAGGTCCAAATATGGTTTTAATAAATTATCAGGTCCCTGTGATTGCATGGTCCAATCTGAGTGACGGAATGAGAGTATTAGGTGCGGATATCAGAGAGCTGGGCATGTGCTCTCTGGAGAAAGGGATCGTGTACACTCCTCAAATATTGAAGTCTGCCGATAAAACACAACCAATGCCCCTCCCCTCCCCTATCCCTTCATGCCTGAATTAAAACAGAGCGCATGTGTCAAAAACACAGTGCGATTCCGTTTTCACACATCCTTAGCTAAGTGTATAGCACCAGTGTTTATGTTCGACGTTTTCACGAACATTTCTGTGATGCATACTTACCAGCCGAAAGAAAATCTTAAGAAATACTATATATATAAGCTACATGTTCGTGAAATGTCAACTACCACTTTAGGACTTTGGTATGTCCCGGCCTAGGGACAGAATATATTGCCTCTCTCACTGGGAAGAACGATCAACACGGACGGCCAATAGTGAGGTAATGCCAAGCTAGGCACCAGGAAACAAAAGGTTGTAAGGAAGTAGAGCGGAAATATAATGATTCCAAATATTGCAATGAGTGCAGCTGATTTTATTTTTTGCCACCTTTATGTCACAAATTAGAGGCCTCAAAAGCAAATCCCCGATTCTGCAACGGAAATTCCCACATTGGTTGCCTCTTACAACACGCAGTGAGTAACCTAATTAGGCAAATCATGCGACATTACCTAAAATCCGTATATCACAACAGAAAAATAGAAGCACAATTATCGAGCAGTTTCAAAGAAAAAAATACATCCATATTCCAGTAGAGGGACATAACCGTTATGCATCTACTGACAATACTATCGTGGACGGTATGACGGAATGGATATCCTTTGTGTAGGTCTAAAGTAAAAATAGTCTCGTTCAACCAGACCCTTGTTGTCTGCTTGCAAGCTACGCCGAACAGAGACAAGAGATCAAGTGTCTGGTTGAACGAAACTGCAGTAAAAGATGTTAAACAGACAGCCAATTGCAGCATAACCTGTCAAATTCAATGGTAGCATAACCTGTCAAGTTCAATGGTAACATAACCTGTCAAGTTCAATGGTAGCATAACCTGTCAACTTCAATGGTGACATAACCTGTGAACTTAAATGGTATCATAACCTGTCAACTTAAATGGTGACATAACCTGTCAACATAAATGGTGACATAACCTGTCAACTTCAATGGTAAAATAACCTGTCAACTTCAATGGTGACATAACCTGTCAACTTAAATGGTATCATAACCTGTCAACTTAAATGGTGACATAACCTGTCAACATAAATGGTGACATAACCTGTCAACTTCAATGGTATCATAACCTGTCAACTTCAATGGTATCATAACCTGTCAACTTCGATGGTAACATAACCTGTCAAGTTCAATGGTAAAATAACCTGTCAACTTCAATGGTCACATAACCTTTCAACTTAAATGGTATCATAACCTGTCAACTTCAATGGTAACATAACCTGTCAACTTCAATGGTAACATAACATGTCAACTTCAATGGTGACATAACCTGTCAACATAAATGGTGACATAACCTGTCAACTTCAATGGTAAAATAACCTGTCAACTTCAATGGTATCATAACTTGTCAACTTCAATGGTGACATAACCTGTCAACTTAAATGGTAACATAACCTGTCAACTTAAATGGTGACATAACCTGTCAACATAAATGGTGACATAACCTGTCAACTTCAATGGTATCATAACCTGTCAACTTCAATGGTGACATAACCTGTCAACTTAAATGGTATCATAACCTGTCAACTTCAATGGTCACATAACCTGTCAAGTTCAATGGTAAAATAACCTGTCAACTTCAATGGTCACATAACCTTTCAACTTAAATGGTAAAATAACCTGTCAACTTCAATGGTGACATAACCTGTCAACTTCAATGGTAACATAACCTGTCAACTCCAATGGTGACATAACCTGTCAAGTTCAATGGTAGCATAACCTGTCAACTTCGATGGTAACATAACCTGTCAAGTTCAATGGTAGCATAACCTGTCAAGTTAAATGGTAGCATAACCTGTCAAGTTCAATGGTAAAATAACCTGTCAACTTCAATGGTGACATAACCTGTCAACTTCAATGGTAACATAACCTGTCAACTTCAATGGTAACATAACCTGTCAGGTTCAATGGTAACATAACATGTCAACTGCAATGGTAGCATAACATGTCAACTTCAATGGTAACATAACCTGTCAACTTCAATGGTAACATAACCTGTCAACTTCAATGGTCACATAACCTTTCAACTTCGATGGTAACATAACCTGTCAAGTTCAATGGTAGCATAACCTGTCAACTTCGATGGTAACATAACCTGTCAGGTTCAATGGTAACATAACATGTCAACTTCAATGGTAGCATAACATGTCAACTTCAATGGTAACATAACCTGTCAAGTTCAATGGTAGCATAACCTGTCAAGTTCAATGGTAGCATAACCTGTCAAGTTCAATGGTAACATACATGTCAACTTCAATGGTAGCATAACCTGTCAACTTAAATGGTTACATAACCTGTCAACTTCAATGGAAAAATAACCTGTCAAGTTCAATGGAATCATAACCTGTCAAGTTCAATGGTAGCATAACCTGTCAAGTTCAATGGTAGCATAACCTGTCAAGTTCAATGGTAACATAACCTGTCAACTTCAATGGTAACATAACCTGCAGTGGCGGATCCAGAGGAGTTTTTAGGCTTCAAGAAACCCACCCAACCTGAAAATTTTCTGTAAAAATCATGTATTTTCACCATTTTCCTCAATTTTTCCCCACATTAACATATAATCCCGGATATAAACAAATTATTTTAGATGCGTGAGCGGAGAGGTTCAATAGAAATCCTAGCATTAACCAGGTAAAACATGTGGTGGAGTGTTGACGGTTAGATAGAAGATATGGCGTGTCTATGAATAACTGTAATCCAGCTATATATACATTTGTATGGGACTTATAGGACGTGTTACAATCTGTACCAGATAAAAGTACATTGCTAAGTTTTAGTCGCACGGTTCCCCTGTCAAGAAAACATCCAACCGTCCATTTTGCTGTCAAATAAGTTTCAATGGAGTTGTTATATAAAAAAAAATGGGTGTTGTTAATTAGCATGACAAAAGATATCTTAACAAACAAGTAACACATTATATTTACTATGACAACTGGAGATTTTGAACGGTTGTCTAGATTGGTGTGGGAATGTTTTAATAAGACAACTGAAGGTTTACCTATGTTCAATCTGATTAAAACCATATCTTTAATTCCACTGCGATACTCTACGTTCCAGTCTAGTCTGGAACGTAGATGTTAGACGAAGATCTAGTTTTAATCCGATTGACCTACGTCCGTCTGCATTGACGAGGAAATGTTTTATGACAACTGAAAGTTTATCGGCGTCCGTCTACGTTGACGAGGAAATGTTTTATGACAACTGAAAGTTTGTCCACGTCCGTCTACATTGACGAGGTAATGTTTTATGATAACTGAAAGTTTACCGACGTCCGTCTACATTGACGAGGTAATTTTTATGAAAACTGAAAGTTTATCGGCGTCCGTCTACATTGACGAGGAAATGTTTTATGAAAACTGAAAGTTTATCGACGTCCGTCTACATTGACGAGGTAATGTTTTATGAAAACTTAAAGTTTACCGACGTCCGTCTACGTTGACGAGGAAATGTTTTATGACAACTGAAAGTTTATCGACGTCCGTCTACGTTGACGAGGAAATGTTTTATGACAACTGAAAGTTTATCGACGTCCGTCTACGTTGATGTTTGGATGTTTTATGACAACTGAAAGTTTAACGACGTCCGTCTACGTTGACGAGGAAATAATTAATGACAACTGAAAGTTTAACGACGTCCGTCTACATTGATGTTGGAATGTTTTATGACAACTGAAGGTTTACCTTGTTCGTCTACATTTGTGCGGAAATGTTTTATGATAACTGAAGGTTTATCGACGTCCGTTTACATTGATGTGGAAATGGTTTAAGACAACTGAAGGTTTATCCTCGTCAATATCAGTTGTAAGTACAAGAACGTGAACATTGAGAAGAAAACTCACTAGAATGATGAATATGACGTATTGACGCTATGCAGAGTTTGAGAATGTCTCGATCAGAACAGGGGAAACAATATAACAGTGGCGGATCCAGAGGGGTTTTTTGGGCTTCAGGAAACCCCCCACCATGAGAATTTTCTTTAAAAATCATGTATTTTCATCATTTTCCTCAATTTTTCCCCACATGGAAACCCCCCCCCCCCCCAGGAAATTTGGCCCCCCCCCCCCCCAGATAGGTCTCTGGATCCGCCACTGTATAAGATGTTAAAAAACATCACATACACGTATTGTTCTCAAGTTTAAAATCAAACAACGGACGATTTTTGTGATTAGTGTCAGAAACGCTGTTTTTGTTACAGAACACTCGTCCTACTCCTGCACGAACTCTCACAAAACTAAATCAATACTTGTGCAAATAGTGACTCGACTTCTATACTAAAGAGACTTGTTTCATTTTAAACGACGTTTCTTCACACTAACAGCTATATACACTG